TTTTAATTAATTATAATAGGCTGGGTTTCGGGGCGTTACAGGTATATCCCATCCGAGACACATTCTAAACCTTAACACCACGACCCATATCTCCCCTCTACTCCTCACCTATCGTAGTGCACTTAATGATCAAAACCAGTTTGATACTATGTGTGACGAATTTAATGCTTTGATCGAGAGTAACACATGGGAACTAGTACACATCCCCTAACCAAAATTTCATATCCTGGTCATATCTCCCCTCTACTCCCCACCTATCGGGTCATTTTTTGCCAGGTCTAAATAGAGTTATATTAAGAAAGTAATTTCATGCGTACATATAGATGTTGTATTTTTTCTATATATATATATATATATATATATATATACACACACACACACACACACACACACACATACATACATACATACATACATATACATACATACATACATACATACATACATACATACATACATACATACATACATACATATATATATATATATATATATATATATATATATCGCCAAAAATGAGAAAATAAATTAAAAGAAATAGAATAAATTAAAATAAAATTAATATTATTTAAAAGTTAATAAAATTAGACAAAAAAAAGAATTGTTTCTATTTTATACCACCATAAATTAAATTTATTAAATAAAAAAAATTAAATATCATTATGTTGTTATGAAATGTTTGACAACCAGTAGGCATAAGTCTAAGAATATATGATCAAATGTGTTCGTTGGGTTTATATTTATTAAAACTGAAATAGAAGTAATTAAATGGATAAATAAATGAAAATAATTAAATAATCTAATTTAATTATTTTGGCAGAACCTTTGAGGTATTACATAGACTAGTGTTAGACAATAATATTAAGTATTCCTAGTTATGGTAGAAGTTGTATTTTAGTTAGTTTACATTCTCTATTCCTAGTTGTGTTAGGAGTCTTTTCTATATATACTCTATCATGTACTTCATAATTCAAAGAGCAATATTATTATTCCAATATTTCAACATGGTATTAGAGCCACCGCTCTTGGTGACCTAAAAAAAGGGTTCTTTGCTCCCGCCGCTGCCGCCGGTAATTCCGGCGACGGCGGCTCCACCCTGTTCACCTTAGCTCTATTTTCTTTTCCTTCTTTATCCTCAAATCAACTTCTCCACTCAAATGAAAAAAAGAAGAAAAAAACCCTTGTTGAAATCACACAAAAAAACTATCAAAGGAGGAACTTATCTCTTATCATCTCCATGGTTCTTCAAAAAAAACCCCAATTCCTCACAAATTCTCTCAGATCATCCTATCTTCTCAAAAAAAGAAAAAAAAATATTGTTGTTTCTCTCTAATTCACCATATCAAAATCTAAGACCCAAATTCTTTTTCCATCACAATTCTTAACCCACTTTTTTCTCTCTCAAATCACTCATTCTAATCATCAATCTCCCTTCTTTTTCTCTTATGTTCAACCAACAAAAATTTAAAGTAAATCAGCACAAAAGCAAAGCCAAGAGGGGAAGTAGTGAAAGAGGAAAGAAGACCTCTACAACTCACCCCTTCAAGAAGGAAATAGAGCATTGCCCGGATCTAAGAAAAAGACATAGAATGTCAAAGATCTTCAGTCAAACAGGCATTTCAAGTAGCCTTCTCTATTCTTCTTCGACGTCAGCAGCTACAAGCGCACATCAACCTTCTCTCTTCTTCTTCGACATTAGCAGCTACAAGCACACATCAATTTCTCTCTTCTTCAACGACGTCTGCAGCTACCAGCACACGTCAGACTTCTCTCTTCTCCAACGACGTCAGCAGCCACCGGCACACGTCAGACTTCTCTCTTCTCAAAATTTTCAGTTTCCGGCTAGTGTCCAAGCTTTCTCTTGCTTCAACCAGAGTTCATCTTGAGGGAGAATGTTAGACAATAATATTAAGTATTCCTAGTTATGGTAGAAGTTGTATTTTAGTTAGTTTCCATTCTCTATTCCTAGCTGTTTTCCATTCTCTATTCCTAGCTGTGTTAGGAGTCTTTTCTATATATACTCTATCATGTACTTCATAATTCAAAGAGCAATATTATTATTCCAATATTTCAACAACTAGAAATGTATACTAATGGCAGAAACAAATGGCAGAACCTTTGAGTATTAAATTGAGAAAAAATGTATACTAGTTGAAAAAGCATTTAATGGGTTTTTAATTTCATTAAAACTAAAATAGAAACAAATGGCAGAACGTTTGAGGTATTAAATTTTTTTTGAACAGAATCTTGAGTGTATTGAATAAAGAATTATTTGGTGTGTAGTAATTATTTTAAATACTCCCTCCGTCTGAGTGTATTTGTTCAGTTTGACTTTTTTGAGTCAAACTAGAAAAACTTTGAGCTTCAATTAATTAAATAAAAACTGTAATGTATTTTAACTTAAAAATGAATTTATTGAATTTATCGTATTGAGAACTTTCAAAATTGTATTTAACTAAGCTAATATGCAATATAAATTGAGATTAATTGGAGTTCAAAGTTTGTCCACTTTGACTCAAAAAAGTCAAACTGGACAAATTGTTAGCCTAGTATTTTATGTGTATATGTTTATTGTGTATTGGGCTGTGTATTGCTTGGGCCCGTGACTTGTATTCTCGGCTTTGTATATAAACTCCCGGTGACTAATGGAAAACCCAGTTTCACGTAAAATATTTCTACATGGTATCAAAGCTATCCTAGGGCAAAGTCTCGAAACCCTATGCTTGTATGTGTGCCGACCATGAGTTTTCGCCGTCCGATTCGGCGGTGTCTGTTAGTCGATAGTGCGCCGGAGTCTGGAGTCCGTCAGCCCTCCTCCGTCGCTGTCTTGTTCACTGTTCGTCGTCGCTGTCTTCTCGTCGCCGGCTCTTCCGATCGCCGTCCGCCAGTATGTCCGGTGAAGTCGTCGCCTCCAACCCTAAAAAGACTCGGCTCATTCATGATCCTTCTTCCATATATTACCTTCACCCCTCCGAAGGCCCGGGAGGAGCGCCATCGTCATATTGTTCGCACTAGGGACGATCGCATGGACACCGTTGCTTTCGCTGCCCGATCCGACAAACGCCCTCTTGTTCCAAACAGGTCTTGTTCGCATTGTGGTCGCACTAATCATACCGTTGATACATGTTTTGAGCTCATCGGTTTTCCAGCACAGTATGCTCGTGGTGGAGGGCGGGGTCGCGGCAGTGGCCCCACAGGTCGAGGAGGATCGGCGTCCGGAGGCCGTGGCTCTACTTGGCATGGCAGCGCCTCTCACACCCCTGCCGGCAGTGGGCAGCCGGCTCAGGGCAGTAGCGGCGGTCCTCCTGAAGCTGTTCATGCTTCAGTGTCTGACTCGAGTGGCCACCTCAGTGATCAAATGTCCCGCTTGATGTCTATGTTAGAGGCGTCCGCTTCTCACACATACACCGGTAATTCTTCTTCTGATTGGTTAATTGATAGTGGCGCTTCGCATCACATGACAGGTTCTCTCACTCACTTAGTC